GATGGAGTGTCTGAATTTATGTCGCGGGTCAGGGATCAGATTATGCTCGATGCGGCGTCCCAGGTTTCCGCGTGCGTGCGTTCAGACGTCGCGCAATCGCTCGCAAAGATCAAGCAAGATTTGCAGGAGCACACTGCCCAGACTCACAGCCAGGTGGTGGTCCACGAGGAGGCGCTGCGCAAGATGGCTGCGATCATAGGTGAGTTGGGCTCCAAGAGCAGCGCGAGTATTGTTAAAGCAGTGGCTACGGCTTTCACTCAATTTCTTGAGTCTGACGTGATATCCATGCGCGTTCGCCAGGCACTGGCTGAAGCTGCGTATATTCCACGGGGCCCTGGCGCTGGGTTGGCTCCTGACGGAGACTCGGACGACTCTGACGACGGCGAACGCAGCTTCCACGAGACCTGGTGCGACAGCGATGGCAACCACCACACTACTCGCTGGACACCGTGAGTACGCTGGTCAGCGTCGGCCTCCTCGCTGTCGAGGGTCTCTGGGTGCTGGCGTGCTCCGACCTTGTCGCCGCCGCCTCGGGGGGCCTCCCGAGCATTGCGGTCACTCGTATGGCTTCCGCCTCCACTCACACATCCCCTCGGATTGGCGGATCTTTTGCGTGTCAGGTTAGGTGGGATCTTGGGATTCTTCTTTACGCTCGTCTCCTCCCACTCCTCCTTCTCCTTCTCCTCCTTCTCCTCATCCTTTTCCTCCTCCAAATTATCCTTTTCTTCCTCCTCATCCTCATCCTCATCCCCTCCCTCCCTCCCTCCCTTCTCCTCCTCCTCCTTCTCAGTATCCTCCTCTGCCTCCCTGCGGCGCATGCTGCCCCGATCGGGGAAACGTTGGGCCGGAGTTCGATGGAGTTCGGGTTTACCGCCGCTTTTGGACGGGCCCGTCCTGGATGTTCACGGCCCAGTGTTCGTGGGGTGTTTACAGCTTGAGTTCACGTCAAGTTTCACACAGATTGTGTCCTTTTCTTGGTGGCCCCGTCAGGCCAACCCGAGTCTTCCGAACCTAAGTCTTGTTTCTATCCGACCCGAGGGGAGAGACCGATGAGGTTCGATGACAGTCGGAACCAGCCGATACCGTGACGCAGACGCACGGTCGAATGGCGCAGACATGTTGTTCTTCCTTCTTCCTCACTTTGCAACTTATGGGCACCGACGTCAACGACCTCATGACCCACGTGCCATTGGTCATTGTATGACGCGCGTTCGTGGTGAGCCCATGCGGCGTGGTGCCAACAGGAGCGCCACCCGCATCGCATGGGATAGCATGGGCTTGTAGCCTCGCGCGCATTCCGCCCCCTCCCCGCCTTCCTGTCCCCCTCCCACGTCTCCGCTACTCCTTCCCCGCTTCCTTCCCCGACATCCGCCGGTGTTTTTTTTCGAAGCCCGAAGTTCCGGCCGCTTACCCAGAGGCTAGTCGGTCGTGCCAGATCGATCATCGATGACCACTGGACCCGAAAGCTGCCCCGAAGGGCGGCAATCGAATGAAGACCGCCAGGCGAAGACATCATATTTCGGCATCCTTCGGACAGGTTCGGTGTTTTTCGGCGGTGGCCATCCAGGAGCAGCCTGGATCGCCTTGCGAAAATTGGGCGCGCGGGGCCGAGCGATGCACGGAGAATGGACACCCGAGCGATGGCAAACGATCGTCGGAGATATCATATCTTGGCATCGCTCGGACGTGTTCAGTGCTTTTCAGCGGTGGCCATCGAGGAGCAGCCTGGATCGCCTTGCGAAACATAGTCGCACGGAACCGAATAATGCACAGAAAATGGACATCCGAGCGATGGCAAGATGTCGTCGGAGATCGGTGGCCATCGAGGAGCATCCTGGATCGTCTTGCGAGACATGGTCACACGGAGCCGAACGCACAGAGAATGTACCTCCCAGCGATGGCAAGACGTCGTCGGAGATCGGTGGCCTGGATCGTCTTGCGAAACATAGGTGCACGGAGCCGAGCAGGGCTCGGAGAATGGACGTCCGAACGATGGCAAGACGTCGTCGGAGATCCGTGGCCATCGGGGAGCAGCCTGGATCGTCTTGCGAAGCGGGCGCCCGCGGAGCCGAACGATGCACAGAGAATGGACGTCCGGGCGATGGCAAGACGTCGGAGACGTGCGTCCACGTCTTTGCCCCTCCGCTGCCCTCCCGCCCTCCCGCTGCCTCGCCTCCCCGCCCGCTCGGGAGACGTTGGCTGCCCACCTGGAGCGGCCCCACCTCCCTCGCTGCTCCAAATCCCTTATTAATCGACCCCGCCCTAAAAATAAGTCGGGCCTGTCCCTTTACAGGAGGAATATTCAAAAATAGTCAAAAAATCGTCAGGGGACGAGTTTCGGATTATTTTTGCAGATTTTTTGAATATGTTTTGACTAATTCAATTGTTCCGTCCAGAATCACCTTGTAAGGGGGCAGCCCCGGCCTAACCCTGAAAAGCCGGACCCCCCTCCAAATGCTACCTATAATACCGGACCCCCCTCGATTTTCCACGGGGCGCCTTCGTACACCGGACCCCCTATAAGCTCCAATCCAGAGAAAGCGCCCTAATAAGCCAAGCCGGACCCCCCAGTTACAAGACAGGTGCCTTAAGAAATTGTTGACGCTTCGCGTATCCCCACCAGCCCATCCAGAAACGATGCTCAGGGGAGTTGAGGTGATCAGGGAAGTCGGGGAGCATGCAGAATAACAAAGGGCGGGGGAAGCTGTCACAGACCCCGAGAGGGGGAGGATGGAAGAGGAGTCGTCGTCGTCGTCGTCGTCGTCGGAGGAGGAGGAGGAGGAGGAGGAGGGGGAAGAGGAGGAGGAGGAGGAGGAGGAGGAGGACGGAGAAGGAGGAAGAATCGGAGGAGGAGGAGGAGGAGGGGAAGGAGCTTCTTGGGGGTCTTTTGAGGGCCTCTTGGAGGGCTTTTTGGGCGCCTTGGGGCATCTTGGGCGCCTCTTGGGACCCTCTTGAGGCGCTCTGGGGAGCCTTCGGGGCGCTTTTGGGGCCATCTTGGAGGGAGTCGATCAAACAAGAGGGGGGGTTTAATTAGCGCCCCCCCTCGGAAGCCCCTAAAATCGCCTCTTGGACCCCTCTTGGAACGCTCTTGGAGTGCTCTTGGGCGCTCTTGGGGCCGTCTTGGGGCTCTTTTGGGGCTCTCTTGGGGCCCTCTTGGGCCATCTTGGAGCCATCTCCAGGCCTCGGATAGCCATCGGAAGCGAAAAGGCGAGAAAGCAAAAATCATTGATTTTCCTTAGGTTTTGGGACGATTTTGGCCTCTTCGGGGCCTCCTTGGGGAGCTGTTTGGCCACTTGGAGTTATCTTGGGGCCGTCTTTGGGCTTCTTGGAACCATCTTAGGAGCCATCGTGAGCGATCTTGCGCTATCTTGAGCCATCTTGGAGCTCATCTTGGGTTCTCTGAGGCGCTCTTGGAGCCGTCTTGGGCCATCTTGGACGCTCTAACTACCCGCGGCCCCCCCCGTCCAGGTCCAGGGGAGGGGGTAGGGGGAGGGGTAAACCCCTCCCCAAGGGGGAAGAGGGAGGGGTGGAAGAGGATCTGTTCTAGACCACCTACGCCCAGAGGGCTGGTGGGATTGGACCCGTGGGACGTTTAATGAAGGATTTGGAATGCGTTGCATCCTCGGGGGACCTCGCCTGTCCCAACAAAGGATGTCTCCTCCTGTTCCCAGCGCGGACTGGGCGTGGATCCAGCGCGAATTCGAAACGGTTTTGACACGGATCCGACGAGTCCGACTTGAATTCGACACGGATTCGATGCGGATAGGGCCGCGACGGGACGGACAAGGCCCCCGAGGATGCAACAGAAGCTTCGCGCGTCGAGAGGCCGATGCTGGGCGTCGTGACGCTGAGCGCCCCGCAGCGCATGACTCGCACGTCCTTTCGGGTGTGGTTTGGGATCCGACGTCGCAAAGCAGATGCAAGCCTAGACATGCAAAGCCTTGAAAAAACAAGGATGGCAGCTTTTCTCATTGTTCGGCCTCTTTGGGCCTTTGCTGGGCCCCGGGCCGCCAAGAAACGACCCGGGATGAAGAAACGGCCCTGGGAGAAGGGTCGGGATTTCAGGGGACCGCGTATTGAGGAAACGATATCACATCGCATGTTTGGGAAGTCGTGGGAGCTCACGAACAGAGCGACCCCACCCTGATGCGGCACCGCTCGAGCCGGCCCGATCCCGAAACGCCCGGCGTGAAAAAGATACGACGCCCGGGTATTGGGACTCTATGCGTCCGTCCATGCGCTTGCACCGACCGCGGCTGGGCAGATGCGGCCAGAGACAGCAAGACTTGGGCTTGGGTCTGCGCCGTCAAACAAGCCGGCGAGGAGGAGGAGGAGGTTGAGAGGAGGAGGCAGGAAGCGAGGCAGAGGCTGCAGACACACCCGTTCATATGCCTGCGCCGTTTGCAGAAATCCGCTGGCGCGCGCCGCAGTGCGCGCTGAGGCGGAGGAGTTTCGACATCATCCGCTTGCTGCTCCGCTCCGTGTCCTCACTCGGGGGCATCGACAAGGGGGGGACATAATTAGGACGGGGCTAGCACGAGGATACATCCGTTCCAAAGCATTCTGGAAGGCTCTCAGAGCCTTCCGGAACGCTCTGAGAAGGCCGCGACGCCCGAGATGTCCTCCAAAGCCGCCGGGTCTCAGAGATTCTCGATTTATCCTCACCCGATGTTGTCCTCGTGTTGGTTTCGTCTTATTATTGTCTCCCCGACCTGAGCCAGCCTATCCCTATCGTCCCTCCTCGTGTCTGCCTCGCATGTTGCCCAACATCGCCGATATATGGGCGATGCATCAGTGATTCCAGATCCTCGACTCCCCCATGAGCCAGTCACCCACCCCAATCTCGGCGGCTCTCAGACCGGGCCCTGAGGGGTGGGGCCCTCGGGAGGCAAGAGATCCCAGGTTGAATTTACACTGGTCGATGCCCCTCGTCCGTGAGGCCCCATCCCTCAGGTCCCCATCTTCTTTCGAATTCTTTCGGTCGGTGCCCGCGGGAGCTCATGTTGGATTACACAGCCCGCGTTCTCCGAGGACCCCGCTATCGTCGCGCATCCTGCCTGTTACCTCGTCTCTGATCTTGCTTACCCTCCTCACGCCGCTGGCCCCGGCAGGGCTCCTCATCCCTTGCGCGGTGGCCCCATCCTTGAACCGCCTCGGGGCTCCAGAGACGGGGGTCCATGCAAACGGGGGTCAGTCAGAGCGCCAGACTCGCAGGATCCTGCAGGGCCGGGGGCACACTCGCCTGGGCTTGGGTGCAGGACCCTGCAGGATCTTGCAAGGCCTGACTGACCCGGGTTTGCATTGACCCGGGCCAGTGCGTTCCCCACCGCCTTGCATCGTTCTTCCTCATGGCTGCCTCCGCGCGTTGCTCGCCGCCCCCCCCCTCCCCAGGCAGATCTCGAGGACCGCGCGTCCGTCATCGAGGGCCTCTCGGCCTCCAACGTGGCGCTGCGCGCGGAGGCCGCCGAGGCGCCGGCCGCCCGTCCCTCCCTCGTCGCGTCGTCTGCTCATCGGTGTTGGAGTCGGCTGGGGGGCTGAGGTGGCTCGACCCTGGGAAAGGGATCGGTCCGGGAGGGATCCAGAGACAGAGTTAGAGCGGATTTGCCCCTCCTCCTCCCTCCCTCCCTCCTCCTCCCTCCTCCTCCTCCTGCTCCTCCTCCTCCTTCTCTCCTCCTCCTCGCTCTCCTCCTCCTCCTCCTCCTCCTCCTCCTCCTCCTCCTCCTCCTCCTCCCTCCTCCTCCTCCTCCTCCTCCTCCTCCTCCTCCTCCTCCTCCTCCTCCTTCCTTCTTTTTTGCAGATGTCTGTTTGCCAGTCTGTTCGACAGTGCTGTACCACACGATGCCATTGTGCATTTCTATCGCCAGGCTGCTTTTGGCGCTCCGGTGCCACTCTGCCGGGCGCCCCTGCGGCCCACCGCGGCAAGCCTCATGTTTCGTGCCTCGTGCCCCCCTTTCTTGACCGATTTCCTCGGGGCCCGTCCAGCACAGACCCCACGGCCGCCTGCAACTTCGGGGTGTGTGTGTGTGTGTGCGTGTGTGTGCGTGTTGGTTTGATGTAGTTCGGGGGTGGACAGACCTCCTACCCTGACACGTCGATCGAGGAATCGGCCGTTTTCGTTTCGCGAGAGGGCGTCGCGGCCGTCATTTTTGCGGGTCCAGGTCTGTCGGTTTCGGTCCCAGGCCGTTTTCGCTAAGGGGAGGTCTACTAAAGGGAGGTTTGTCCACCGCCGAGTAGTGGCCGCCAATTCGCACCAGACTGCTTGCGCTTCAGTTTACGTTGAGTTGAGTGCCCTCCTCGGTTCTCGGGCCGCGCCGCTTTTCGTTCGGGCTCTCGGCTCCCTCTTTCACCACCCGATGCTGCACTTTTCAGGGTGCGACGCTTCGTAGACTGTACCTTCGACGATGCTCGATCGCAACTAGCACTTCCATTTGCTGCCCGCGCTTGAGGACCCTCCCGACTCATCACAAAGCGTTGGTTTTCTTTCCGGACGCGGGGCGGCAGGGTGGGATAGCAGAGGTGGGGGGGGGTCAGGAGAACCAGGGGAAGCGGCATACTCGCATAGACTTTCGAGGGCCCGCGCGGCCTTCTCGGATCGCCGCTGGGACCACCTCCCCCTGCGCGCGGAGCTCGGCAGGGGCGACGTGCCAGGGGGGGGCCCCAGGCCGATCCACGAGATCTGCGCGGACCTCCGAGCGTGTATCTATTGTGTGTGAAGGCTTTCTGTTCCCGGGCCGCTGCTCAGATCTGGACGCCCGAAGTGGGTACGGAAAGAATGGGTACGGAATGCCCAACAGCAGTTCCTGTTCCTTTTGGACAGGATTCGTTGTCCACGCCGCCGCGGCCTGCGTCCATTCGAGACAGAAGGCCGCCTGCCCAACAGCGGCCGCTGTTGGTTTGGGACAACATTTGCTGTTGGGCATTGTGCCCATCTTTTCCGTGCCCACTTCGGGCGTCCAAATCAGACTGCCTGCGAACCAAGCCTCGTCCACTGACCCCTCGCGCCGTGGAGCAATCCTGGCGGGAGTTGTTGTTGCGATGTTTTGCCTGTGGGGGCCCTCGCATGGCCTTGGGGCCGCCAAAGATCGACTCGGCACGTAAAGCCAGTCCCCGGGGACCGGATCGAGACCTCGGGGGGTCCACGCTGCAAAGAATCATGAAGGGCGTCGGGGGTCTTTGTCCCGAGCCGCTGCGGATTGGGACGGAGCAGAGACCCAGACCTCCAGCGCGTTGGGAAATGCAGGCCCAGCCGTTTCCCAGCGGTCCTCGCCTCCCCTGCGCGCGGGCGGGCCGCGCTCGGAGAGGCGAGGGGCCCCGACGTGCCACGGCCCCGACCGAGCACTACCCTTGCCCGGGACCCCGGCCACCCCCCTCCCAGGTAAGCGACCGCTGCCAGAGATGATGACAAACAGTCTCGAGCCAGACGTCTCGGGCGGGTGGCAATGGGGGGTGACCGAGATTGGGGGGGGGGGGGGGAGAAAAGGGCCCTGGAAGGTGCCTTCGGGCCCCTTTTCGGAGCCCCTTAGGGCCCCTTTCGGGCCGCTTCCTTCACCCCCCCTTTTGGGTCACCCCCCAACTGCCACCCGCCCGACAGACGCCAGACCCCGCTGCGTCGTGGGCAGCACCAGGGCGCAAGGTTTCTGCCCGTCCTCTCGGGCCCCGGGCCCGCGGAACCATTCCGCAGGAGGAGAGGTTGGTCCCTGGGCAGGGGTCTGGACCCCTGCGGGCCCGCGTCATGAAGGAGTCACGGCGTCGGGCCTCGGGGGATGGATGGGCCGGGGATAAAACAGGAGGTGGAGGCGGAGGAGGCGGAGGAGAGGGAGGAGGCGGAGGAGGAGGAGGAGGAGGAGGAGGAGGAGGAGGAGGAGGAGGAGGAGCAGGAGGAGGCGGGGGGGGAGGAGGCGGAGGAGCAGGAGCAGGAGAGGGAGGATGAGCAGGAGGAGGAGGAGCAGGAGGAGGAGGAGGAGGAGGAGGCGCCAGGGGCAGCGATGGGCTCAGGGGGAGCGCATCGACCCCCCTCGCCCAACTCCTCGCCGACGGGGCCCCGACGGCCCATCCCGCCCGGGGGCCAGTGCGGTTTGGCTGTCGGGGGCCTGGAATGCTGATCTGTCTCGAGAGAACTCCGCGGGGGTTGAGGTCAGGGGGGGGGGGGGTAGATCGATAACCTTTCGATGATGTGTTTGTGTGTCTATAGTTTGATGGATGTTGATGGATGACACTTGGGTGTTGGTAGATACCGCTTGGGTTATGATGGTGATGATGGTGGCGGTGATACCGACGGATGTAGATGAGGATGAGGATGAGGATGAGGATGATGATGAGGAGGAGGATGATGATGATGTTGATGATGATGCTGATGTTGATGCTGATGAGGATGAGGATGAGGATGAGGATGAGGATGATGATGCTGATGCTGATGATCATGATGATGATGCTGATGATGATGCTGATGATGATGGTGATGATGGTGATGATGGTGAGAATGAGCATGGGAGATGGTGAAGTTGTTGATGTTCATAATTGGAGGTGACGATGGTGACAATGATGACTTTGATGGTGATGATTTGATGGTGGTGATAATGGGCGATGGATCGTCGATTCCAGGTCGACGTCCCCAACCCCTGAGTCAGTCCCCTCTATCGTTTCCCCTCGACCTCGACGCTGAGGCTGGGGAGGGCGGGCGGCGAGTGGAAGCAGGTTCGCCCGGCCCGGCCCGACGGACCTGGTGCAAGCCCCCGAGGTCTCAGAACAAGAACCCGGCGACGCCAATCAGGAGGGGAAAAAACAGACAGACACAATTAATCGTCGACTCTCAGGAAAATATTGGAAAATATGGGAAGTGGGGGGGAAGACAAAAACCCAGAAAATATGAGAAAACAAGGGGAATCCGGTTATTTGTGTGTATTTGTTTGTGTGTCCCAGGGCCCTTTCAAGCACGACCCTCTCACGCCCCCTCGGCCGGGAGAGCTCCGGCAGAGCTCTTCCCGTGCATAGTGGCGATGTGGCCGGGTCCGCTGTGACCGGGCTCCTGTCCAGGTGAGCTTCGCCTGCAGCCAACATGGCCTCGTCGGACATTAGGGGAACAAAAAGTGACATAAACATAAAAACTCGGAGGTCCGCGCGGATTTCTCGGATCGGCGCTGGGGCCCCCTGGCGGCGCCGCCCCTGGCGCGCTCCGCGCGCCAGGGAGGGGGGTCCAGCGCCGATCCGAGAAATCCGCGCGGACCTCTGAGTTTTTCTGTTATGCCACTTTTTCTTCCCCTAGACGTCCTCCCGAGCAACGTCTGCAAGAGCCTTTGGACAAGGTCCTCAGACTCGGGAAGCACCTTCTTCACGTCCTTCATGCACTCCCTCCTTTGGGGTCTATGAAGCAGCGCAGTACCTGGTACTACGGTCGGACCGAGGTCTAAGATCGAGGTCGGTTCGGGGAGGGTACCCTGATGTGATTCGCGTTTGTTTGGATATTATTGCGCATCCCGGGGGAGGGCACCCTCTAATGTTCTTCAGTTTGGCTGGCGGAGGGTCTCATGCTCTTGAAGGATGTTCTTCTGTCCGAGGTCAGGCCGTACTGCATGTCTTGCTTTTTGGTCATGTTGTTGAGTTACTTCTTCAGCACGCCGATCTGCTGCGCTGGAGTGCCGGTACGTACTGGCGGAGAAATTGGGGGTCCCAGGTTCCGCAGGTGCTGCAGTGTCTCGTCGCCTCGTGGTTCTTTGCCTGGATCAACTCTATTGCGGACTCGAATTGAGCCTCGATGGAAGCTAGCCGTTGCCGCAGCTCGTTCGCCCTCATGTCCATCATGAACTTGGGTGGGCATAGCCACTGGGAAGCGACAATTTCCACCAGTGTCCGTTGCCGTCAAGATTGGCATGACTTATGAGCTTAAGTGCGCGTTGGTCAAATCCATGGACCGCGTTACCTCAACCAATGCGAGCCTTCCATGGAACTGGTCATCTCATCCCCGATCCTAGTAAGGGCGTTGCCGACCTTGGCACGCGACGTCATAATGGAAGACGCTCTCCCCCATGGCGTCAGGAGGAGGGGACACAAGTTCGCTTGGGAGGGAAAGAAGGCCGAGAACCTTCCAGAACCTCTTGCCAGCAGGCTCCCAAGGAATCCCGGGAGGACGGCGACGGTGTCGCCGACGACGATGACGCAGGCGAGGACGGCGACGCTGACGGCGGCGGCGCTCGACGACGGCGGCGGCGTCAACGAGCCGGCGGCGCTCTCGGCGTGCTGCGACGGCGGCGACGATTGCGGCGATGCCGGCGTCGACGAGGCGGCGGCGCCGTCGGCGTGTCGCGATCGCGTCGGCGACGCCGGCGTCGGCGCTCGACGGCGGCGTCGCGCAGGCCGCCGGGCGCGCAGAGGCCGCGGCCGAGCGGGCCGCCGCCGCGGAGGGCGCCCTCGGGGTGCTGCGGGCCTCGCGCGACCAGGCGCGGGCCGCAGCCTTCGGTTCGGCCGCGGTGCGGCGACGGCGACGGCGGCTATCAGGACGACGGCGACGGCGGCGACCGATCACGACGACGGCGACGACGACGACGACGAACGAGGGCGACGGCGGCGGCGATGGCGACGGCGACGGCAGCGGCGACGGCGACGGCGATCGCGACGTCTACGGTGACGGTGACCACGACGACTACCGCGGAGAAGGATGACGACGGCGGCCACGCTAGCGACGGCGACCACCGACGACCACGACAGCGACGACCTCGGCGGCGACCTCGATCTTGGCGGCAGCGACGACCGACCACCACGACCACGGCGACCCTCCGAGGTCGCCGTCGCCGTGGTCCGATTTGCAGATTTGCGAGCCGGCGTTGCGATTGCCGATCTGATTGCGGCCTCAGAATATGCGGTGGGATTCCGATTGCGGCTTGGTTTTCCGACCCGATGCTGGCCCCTGCTGCTTGGGCGACGACCACGCCCTCGACCCTCGACCTCGGCGACGACGGCGGCGGCGACGGCCGTCCGTCGGTCCCCTCGGCCTCGGTCGGTCTCGAACTGCGGTGCCGCTGCCAGGCTGCTTCGGCCTCCGACCCTGGGGTCGTTGGCGGGCGCCCGTGCAGACGGTCTGGCGCTGGACCGCCTCGCGGCCCGAGGGCTCCTCCTCCGGGGGAGAGCGGCCGGCGCCCCACGAGCCGCCTCTGCCGCGCCCGCGAGACCTCCGCGCCTGCGGCGGGTGTCCCGCGGTCTCGGGTCGCGTGCGGCGCCGAGCGCTGGGCGCCCTGGAGTCCGCCTCGCCTCCCCTCTCGCCCTCCTCGTGTTCGTCTTCGTCTACACGGCTCCATGTCATTGTGCAGGCCGCCCCCCGTCGAGGGCCGGCGCCTGCGCCTTCTGACACGGGACCCCCTTGCTCGGCTCCTGCGCCTTGCACTTGGCATCGCTCGGACGTGTGCATTTTTCCTTCGGCGAGGACCATCGAGGAGCATCCTTGATCATTTGGCGAAAAAACCACCCACGAAACCGAAAAAAACACAGGGAATGGACGTCCGAGCGATGGCCAGTGCAGGGGGGCGCAACGGTCTGAGCTGCCGAGCGTCACCCACGAGATGCGTGGCGACGCAGGGCCCGCCCAGTCAGCAATGGCAAACCGCAGTCGCAACCGCACAGTCTCTCCTCGCCTCCTACATCCAGGGTGGGCATGCGTCGCAACCTGCAGACGCGAGCCCACGGGCAGACGTTCTATACTCGCCCGACGACTGCAGCATGCACTGCAGCTCTACCGAAGCACATGGGTTCCCACTCTTGAGTACGGCGTGGAGATTTAGACACTGACTGAACCATTCAACCAGCAGCTACCTGAACAGAGTTGTTCATGATGAAAATTTGTAATGCGCGTCGGTACGCAACCAAGGCGCGCTGCAGAAACATAACCAGCAAACAATACCACAGACGGGAACACCAAGAGCACCGATCCATCCCATGATACATCACCTGGCTTCAGTGCGCACGGCGACAGCGACCACGAGTCTTCACGACTCTAAGACAGACGACGGACCCAAGACGATCAGAAGTATGTCTCGATTTTGTTCGCAAGAGGACTCGCGGGGCGGAAGAGTTGAGGAGGTGAAACGGTAGTCCAGATACATTGCATATTGATCGCCAATTCCAACCATTCATTTTGAATGCCTTCCTGAACGAGACTTTCACACCCCATTTAGCACATTGCCTTGTCTGGGTCCCGTCTCGTCATGTTATGCAATGTCCCCCAACTTGCGTTGTTTCTCAACGATTGTCTTCGTGCACGCTGGCTGCTCTAACCATACTGCTTCCGCCTGGCGTCCATTCACATTGCAGGAACGGGCAGAGTTCGACGCCATGGCGGAGAAGATGACAGCAGAGGCGGCGATCCCATTGAAGGGAATGTTTGTCTCACAGGTAGTAGCGTATTGAGGAGCAGCAGGAGCATTAGTAGAAGTTCTGGGAAGAAGCGGAGACATGGCAGAGGGATTAGCAACAACAGCAGCAGGGGAGCACAAGCATCTGTGGCAGGGGCTTCAGTCGCGCCAGAAGTAGCAGCAGAACGGGTACAGTCAAGAAACACAGTGGAAGAAGGACATGTTCTGGTTCAGGAAGGGCTTTGGTTTCGGGCAGTGTCTCAGAACGTGGTCGGGGAGCCTATGAGGCCGAAGCTCGCCGTGTTGCGGAAGGCCATTCAGTCTTAGATTCAGTGTTCCTCATAGTAGTAGTAGTAGTAGTAGTAGTAGTAGTAGTAGTAGTAGTAGTAGTAGTAGTAGTAGTAGTAGTAGTAGTCGTAGTCGTAGTCGTCGTAGTCGTAGTCGTAGTCGTAGTCGTAGTAGTAGTAGTAGTAGTAGTAGTAGTAGTAGTAGTAGTAGTAGTCGTAGTCGTAGTCGTAGTCGTAGTCGTAGTCGTAGTCGTAGTCGTAGTCCTAGTCGTAGTCGTCGTCGTAGTCGTCGTCGTCGTCGTCGTCGTCGTCGTCGTCGTCGTCGTCGTCGCAGTCGTCGTCGTCGTCGTCGTCGTAGTCGTAGTCGTAGTCGTAGTCGTAGTCGTCGTAGTAGTAGTAGTAGTAGTAGTAGTAGTAGTAGTAGTAGTAGTAGTAGTAGTAGTAGTAGTAGTAGTCGCAGTCGTAGTAGTAGTAGTAGTAGTAGTAGTAGTAGTAGTAGTAGTAGTAGTAGTAGTAGTAGTAGTAGTTGTAGTAGTAGTAGTATAGTAGTAGTAGTAGTAGTAGTAGTAGTAGTAGTAGGTGGTGGTGGTGGTGGTGGTGGTGGTGGTGGTGGTGGTGGTGGTGGTGGTAGTAGTAGTATGGTTGTAGTGGTTGTAGCAGCGTCAAACGTAGCAGCACCAGCAGAAACGACATTGCCAGTAGCAGCAGCAGCAGAACCACTGCACTGGCGCGCGGGCCCCGACCAGTGGAAGCAGGAGCTCGGTGTTCGCGACTCTCTGGGCGAGACTTTCGGGCCACACGACATGGTCCATTTCGAACCAGCGGGCCGATTTGGCTCGATCTCGAATCCAGCCAGTTTGGTCTAATTCGATTATGATATTCCGACGATGCAATGCGGCCTGATTTTTGTTCGCGCCGTTTTTGTGCATGTTGTCGCAACCGATCCCTCTCGATGTCGGTTCCTTGTGCCGATGCAGCACGATCCCTTGCACATGTCCATTCGATCTGATTTACGGGCTCGATGTTGCATGGGCGGTATAGTTTCATTTCCACACCTCAGGATTTCACGGCGAGGACCTTTCGGGCAGCACGGAAAAACACATCACTGAGATCAGGAGACTACGGCCTGAAGTTTCTTGTGCGGCAGGAAGGCGTGATATCCCGTGTGTTGATAGTTTGAATCAGGCTTCTGGTGGGGGACCCGACACAGACAGCAGAAGTCCGCACATACATGTGGGCAATGGGTGAGTAGCCAGTACTCGTCGTGCATGTCGCCAGGAACTCGCCATGGAACCAGGCACCGTCGGTGCAGAGACACCTCTTGAGTAGCCCACCCGCGGGGCGGCGGACCCAGTGGACGAGCTGAGGTTCCGCGCGCGGGAATTGGGAGGCCATGCCCGTTCGGCACCTTGCCAGCGCGTCGGGCAGACACTGTTTCGATAGTTTTCGGGGCGCTCGAACTCATTTCTGGGATAAGGTCTTTAAATACAGCCAGCCCGCATATTAAGGAAGGACAGCCATTGCGAGGGTACCCTTGCATCCTGGCCCCTTCGGCCCATCGTTGACGGCTTTCGTTGGCCAGCCTCGTTCGAAAAACGTCCACATGGGCCTCCAAGTCCCTTGCATCCTTATCCCGCATTCTCATGGTACGGGTTGACTGTACCACAGGAGCAGCACAAAGCAATGGGAGGGAGGAACGAAAGAGGAGGAACGAAAGAGGAGGGTGGAGGGAGAAGGGAGGAGCGCCCAGGGAGGTGGGAGGAGGGAGACGAACGGAAGGCGAGGGAGGAGGGAAGAGGGAGGAGGGAGGAGGGAGGAGGAGGGAGGAGGAGGGGAGGAGGGAGGGAGGGAGGGAGGAGGAGCGAAAGGAGGAGGGCGGAGGGAGGGCGGAGGCGGGAGGAGCGAGCCGGGGAGGCAGGGAGGCGGCCCCGCCCCGCGGCCCCCCCCGCCCCCCGAGGCGCAGAGGGCGGCCCACCTCGCGGAGGCGGCGCGCGGGCTCCAGGAGGAGCGGCGCAGCCCGCGCGGCGCGCGGTGCCCAGCGACGGCGGATGCCGCGGCGACGACGGCGACGACGGCGACGACGGCGACGACGGCGACGGCGACGGCGACCACTTCGACGGCGGGCGCCGCGGCGACGACGGCGGCTTCGACGGCGGCGACGACGACGACGACGGCGACGACGACAACGACGACGACGGCGGCGGCGGCGGCGACGTCGGCGGGGGCGACAGCGGCGACGGCGACGACGGTCGGAGGAGGTCCCAGTCGAGACACGGGCGGTCCCGTGTGGTGTGCGTTCGCCTGTTCTGGGTCTCCCGGAGGTGTCTCGTCGCCACGGCTGGATCCGCCCCGCAAAACGGGTCCGGATGCACTTCGGGAGGAGTGCGGGATCGATTTTGAGCGGATGTAGGCTGGGTGGAAGAGTCGCCGGTGTCTCAGTTCTCCGGGGCGACGACAGCGGCGACGGCGACGCACGGATGCCGAGCAGGAGGTGCCAAAACACACGCAGCGAAGCGTCCAAGGACGAGAGAGGAGGAGGCTGAGGAGGAGGAGGAGGAGGAGGAGGAGGAGGAGGAGGACGACGACGACGACGACGAGGACACCGACAAGCAGGAGAAGGGAGGAAGAAGGAGCGCATGCTTGCCACTTGGTGTGCCGGCCCCAGCGCTGGGTTGAGGAAACGCAGACATGGATCCCAGGCCTTCTCGCGTTGTGAACAAGTAGCGACGGCAAGTGCTTTGCTATTTCCTGTTTCTGGTGTCCTTGCAGGACCTGGGGACCGTCAACAAACGACTCAGGATGGAAAGCCGGTCCCAGGGAATAGGTCGAGATCTCGGGGGGTCACGCTGTGAGAAAACATACGGACGTCGTGTGTCTAGGAGGACGGCGCGCGGATTAGCGACGGGCCCCTTTTCCTTGCGCTCCGCCGCCAAATTCGCCGTCTTTGATTATTCGCCAGATCCACGGATCCGTAATCCATATCATCGTGCGCCCCAGTGGAGGGCCGCAGAGGTTGCCAAAATGCGCAACGAAGCGCCCCAGGACGCCGAGGACGAGGGCGAGGACGACTAGGAGGAGAAGGATGGTGACTTCGCCGCGCCTCCAGCCAGAATCCCCGTCCCGAATTCGGGCCCCGGAGCTCTCCCAGGTCCGACGCAGGGGGGCGAGGAGGAGGAGGAGGAGGGGGGGGGCCTCCTCCGCCTCCTCCCCCTCCTCCTCCTCCGACCTCCTCCTCCTCCTCCTCCTCCTCCTCCTCCTCCTCCTCCTCCGACCTCCTCCTCCTCCTCCTCCCCTCCTCCTCCTCCCCTCCTCCCCTCCCTCCTCCTCCTCCTCCTCCTCCCTCCTCCTCCTCCTCCTCCTCCTCCTTAGCCAGCCTGAGACATGCTGCATCTAGCCAGCCTCGTCCCCGCCGCTGGGCGCTCTCCTCGATGCGCTGGCGCCGCCTTCGCCCGGAGACCCCCAGTAGAGCCCGCTGGCGTCGTGCACCGCCAGGGAGGACAGGAGGTCCTGGGGCTTGGCATCGCTCGGACGTGTGCATTTTATCTTTCGGCGAGGGCCATCGAGGAGCATCCTTGATCATTTGGCGGAAAAAACCACGCACGGACCCCCCAAAAAACACAGGGAGTGGACGTCCGAGCGATGGCCAGGGGGGGAAGCAAACGCGTTGTACACCCCGGAGCGTTCCTCGCGACCGGGTCCTCCTCCCGTGTGGTTCCTTGACGGTCCTGGGGCCTGGCGACGGCCGCTGGAGGCCGAAGGGGGCGAGAGACCTCGGGGCACGCCTGCATCACGACAAGTGTGGCTCTTTCGCCGCACGCTTTTGTTGGGGATCTGTCCCAGGACCCACCCAAAGTATCTGCTCGATTCGGGTCTCACTCCAGTTGGACGCAAGTTCGACGGACGTTTTGACGCAGCATCGACGCGTGAGTGGAGCGAGTGGTTCCAGGAAGGTCCACAGAAGAAGCATCTAACCTTTCTGCTGTCCCCTCCCCCAACGGCCGCCACCATCCGCGGTTCGCGGTTCGCGATCTGCTCCTTCTTTTTTCCTCGTTCCCCATCTGGCTCCTAACCGCTCTTCTCAAGGTTTACAGAAAACCCGAGTTGGCCAGGAGGGCCCAGAAGGGGCTACAGTGTTAAGGGGCGATTTGTCATCGTCTTCTCAATTCTAGACGCTTCGCGTAACCCATCAGCCCTGCCCCTGCTTGCCTGGCGTCCGACTTGATTCGTTCGTGCGCCTGCGTACCCAAAAGTAACCCACCAGCCCATGCAGAAACGATGCTTAGGCGAGATGCCCTGATCAGGCATGTGGGGGAGCACTCAGTGGAACAAAGGTTGGGAAGCCGTCATACCCCAAGAGGGGGAGAATGGATAGGGAAGCATAGGAGAGGGAGGAGGAGGAGGAGGAGGAGGAGGAGGAGGAGGAGGAGGAGGAGGAAGAGGAGGAGGAGGAGGAGGAGGAGGAGGAGGAGGAGGAGGAGGAGGAGAAGAGAAGAAGGGGGAGGGGGGAGGGGGGGAGGGAGGGGAGAGAGAAGAGAGAAGGATGGAACAAATAAATGGAGTAGGCGGATGAAACAGAAGAGAAGGAGGGGGCGCACAGAAAGGCCAGAGGCCTCTTGGATGCTTTCTCGTAGTCTTTTCAGATGTCTCTTGAGAGCCTCTTGCAGGTCTATTGGGGCGTCGTGGGGGCCTCTTGGCGGTCCTGGGGGCCTCTTGAAGCATCGTGGGTGCCTCTAGGGGTTTCTCCGACAGCAGACCCTTGGGATTCTCTTCGGGACCTCCTGGGGTTCTCTTCGGGGCCTCCTGCGATCGTGGGGGCCTCTTGAAGCATCGTGGGTGCCTCTTGGGGTTCTCTTCGGGGCCTCCTGGGGTTTCTCCGACAGCAGACCCTCAGGGGTGGCGAGGTGTACTTTAGGTCCGCGTGGGGCGTTGCTCCGGTGGACCCCCAGCGGCCTTCGAAAATGGCGACGGTTTCGCAGCTCGCAGCCCCCAGGGATGGCGAGGAGACCGGGCAATAGGCAAGCAGGAGGCATGGCACAAGGCAGGCAGGTGGCAGGGCTGCAGGCAGGTAAGACTGGGGAACGCGGGAGGAAAGAGGCGGGACGGAAGGAAGGTCGCGACCACAGTGTTCTATTCAAAACGAGGACCCCCCGCAGGAAGTTTGGGAGCAATTGGATGACCAATCGCCTCCAGAGGAGATACCAAACCCCTGACGTCAGAATTTTCCGACGACGGGGAGGGGTCCCGACCCATCTTTCTCGGGACCGGCTTCTCATCCCGAGTGGGTTTCGTGCGGCGTCCCAGGGCCTGGCCAGGGCCCCCGGAGACCGGAAGTAACGAGCAAAAATTCGCTGTGATCCAGGCGCGTTGCCGCGGGATTCCGCAGCCGCGTTCGGGCGTGCAGGGGCGGGGGAGGGGGATTGAGGGGAGGGCCTATGGACCCTCCTTTGCCCAGGCGCTGTAATGGCACATGTTCTTCTTCGAGCGCCTAAGTAACGCATGGACTTGGTGACACACACATGGACTCGTCTTGGGCTAGCTGCTTCAATCGCCCGAAGAGGCCCGACGCAGTTGTTCAAAAATCCGTCCGCGGAGCGCCCTTGGCAGAAAGAGAAGCGAGGAGGAGGCCTTGGCAGAGAGGAGGAGGAGAAGGAGGAGGAGAAGGAGGAGGAGCAGGAGCAGGAGCAGGACCAGAAGCAGGAGGAGGGAGAGGAGGAGGAGGAGGAGGAGGAGGAGGAGGAGGAGGAAAAGGAAAAGGAAAAGAGGAGGAGGCGGCGAGGACGAGGACAAGTCGGGACGAGGGGAGGAAAGAAGGACGAGGAGGAGGAGGAGGAGGAGGAGGAGGAGGAGGGAGGAGGAGGAGGAGAGGAGGAGGAGGAGGAGGAGAAGGAGGAGGAGCAGGAGCAGGAGCAGGACCAGAAGCAGGAGGAGGGAGAGGAGGAGGAGGAGGAGGAGGAGGAGGAGGAGGAAAAGGAAAAGGAAAAAGAGGAGAAGGCGGCCGAGGACGAGGACGTGGACGAAGTCGGGGAGGACCAGGAGGAAACGGAGGAGGAGGAGGAGGAGTTGGAGGAGGAGCACGGCGTCGGAGGCGGGGGGCTGGCGGAGCTCTGCTACGACGCGAGGGGGGGGGGTCTCTGGGAGGGCCTCGGCGTCCTCCTCGGGCCGCCGCGGCGCGGCGCGCGGCCGCCGGAGCTCGGCGCGCGCCGCAGGAGACGCTCGCGGCCAGGCAGGAGGCGGCTGCCGCCGCGTGCAGGGCCGAGGCCGCGGAGCAGGCGCGCGGCGCGCGCGCCCGCCCAGCCTCGGAGGAGGGAGGGGCACCCGCAGGCTCAAGCGGGGCCTGTGCCTCCACAGGGGGAGGATGTCGGAGGCGACGACAGGGGCGAATAGCCCAGGGGGGAGCAATACGTGCGTCCAGGGGTGCCGATGATCTATGCCTTCGACGAGGCTCCCGGGCGAGCACGTGTGCTGCCCCTTAGTGGGCCCTGGAAACGACAGAGCCGTTTTTTTACTGGTTCCGTTCTGCCGTTTTTGTTGCCGGTTCCGACGCTGTTGTTTTGCCCGTTCCGTCGCCGTTTGTTGACCGGTTCCGGCTCCGGTTCCAATCCTGGAGCAGTTTTTGTTGCCGTTTCCCGTCGCCGTTTCTTTGCCGTTTCCATTTTCAAGGGACATCTTTTTGGAAACGGTGAAAAAACGGCCCTGCCGTTTCCGGGGCCCACAAAGGCCTGTCCTTCCACAGGGGGAGATTGTCGGAGGCGACGACAGGGGCGAATAGCCCAGGGGGGAGCAACACCAGGGGCGAGTGTCCAGGGGCGAGAAGGTCGGAGGCGACGATAGGGACGAGTGTCCAGGGGTGCCGATGATCTATGTCTTCGACGAGGCTCCGGGGCGAGTGCATGTAATGCTCGCCCCTGGGCTATTCGCTCTTGTCGTCCCCGACGAGAATGCCCAACAATTAGTCACACACTAAAAAAGTCAGGGGACGATTTGTTGAGCATGTCTGAGCATTTGTCTGGTATGTTTGTTGACTCTTTCTTTTGGTTCGGCCAAAACTGTAGGGGGCGCGAAGTTCTTCGTGCTGCGCGCAGCTCTCGGCGCGGCGGCGAGCGAGGGGAGACGTGAGCAGGAGAGGGCCTTCTCAGAGAAGCCCTCGCGCCTTCTGGGAGGTTTGCTGCGTCTTCGGGGAAGGCTTCAGCAACTCTTCAGAAGGCCAGGGGACGTCCGAGCCTTCTGAGAAGGCCCGCCCTTCTCATTTCCGCGCTTGCGCCGATCGGAGGAGGAAGAGGTACCCATATACCACTACCCTGCCCTCGTCTTCCCCTGTTTGGGCCTCCTGGGAGGCCCTCGTCGTCACCGCTGGGTTCGCCGCGAAAGTCTGGTTAGACCGCACCCCGTCAGAGGTCCAGGGAGTAGCGATATGGGTACCTTTCGTTTTCACCAAGGGGTGCAGTGGCCACACCGTGTGGTGCGTCAGTTTACGGCAGGTTCGCGTCGTGTCGACCGGCGGCGGCCTTGCCGCTGGCGTTCAACGTGGAGTGGAACGCCGCCAGCGACCCAGGACCGGTCGACGTTGAACGATCTGACGTTTCGGAGACGACCGATCCTTCAAGGTTGAACGATCCCCGCGGAGGCAGGAACCAGCGCCAGGGTCGACGCGGAAGAACCCGCGGTAATCAGGCCGTCCAGATGGAGTCGGAGCGGATTGGGCCTGTCAGAGCTCCGAATCATCAGGGTTGGAGGTGGTCAGGGGCAGCTTCTGACCTGCACCTCGGGAACCCAAACGAGAGGTGCCCTTGACCAGAGTCATCCCAGATGGTCTGGGCGTCCAACCGCTCCCGAAGCATCGGGGTCGGGGGCCAGGGTCCTAAACCGGAGTGTTCCTGGACCAGAGCTGTCCTTGATAATTCGGGCGTCCAAAGCCAATGGGCCTCCCGGATGGGGTCGGAGCAGATAGGGTCGGAGGATCGCGCCGCATCGCCGATGCCTCAGCGATGCGGCGCGGCGTGGAGCCCGATCTGCGCCGCGCGGACGTCGCTGGTGCATCGCCGGATCTATCGGCGAGGCGCCGAGATCCACCGACCCCTTCTGCTCCGACCCCACCTTGGAGGCCGCCCCCCGCCACCTCGGCGCGCACCTCGGGCGGGAGGTAAGGTGAAGGAGGAGCGAGGAGGAGGAGGAGGAGGAGGAGGAGGAGGAGGAGGCCTCCACGGACGGTGCGGTGGCCATACCGTGCGGTGAGTGACCCTCGAGTTCCTGGCGCCGCAATTGTTTCACGCCCGGGCGTTCTCGGCCAGTGTTGTTCGGGCCTCGGGGCCATCACAGATCGATGCGGCTCCAGAGATATGAGGTTTGGGGATCCGGTCGGGATGTTTCCTAACGTTGCAACTCTCGTCGGATCTCTCGGGCCGGACCAAAGGGGGGGATTGGGAAAGGGGGGGTTACGAAATTTGCTGCATGCAGCTGGTTTCGGCCCCGCCGAGGGGCCCATTCCTCGATACATAGTCGCCTCTGGCGCTGGGAGGCGCCGAGAAAATCAGCTACGTGAGCTGATTCTCAAACCCCCCCTTTGCTATCCCCCCCTTTCGCCCGACCCGAACCTCAGGGATCGCACGGTTTTGGGACTAGGGGTCTTTCTCCGGGTCGTTAGAAGGACGGAGGCTTCCGGGTCCCAAAACCGAGCGATGACGGACCGTGCGGTTGAGTGTGTGTCTGTGGATTCCGAGGTCGCCGCACGGTCCGTCACCGCACGGGCGGAAGGGGGGAGGGGCGGGCTGAAAGAGCGGGGGGGCGAGGGGCAGCGATTGTGGGGGGGGGGGAGGGCAGACCCAGGCCGGATGGGGCTAGGACTGAGTCGGGCCTGTCCCTCTACAGGAGGAATATTTAAAAATAGTCCAAGAATAGTCCTGGGACGATATTTTGACTACTTTGGGTCATTTGGGAGTTTTCTGCTCGTATTTGTTCTTTGTTCTTTTGTCGCCCAAAATCCCCCTCTCAGCGCGTTCTGGGACGCTCTGAGAAGGCCGCGGCGCCCGAGGAGTCCTCCAGAGCCGCCGGATCTCTCAGAGATTCTCGATGCACCTCCTCGCCCGAGATGTTATCCTCGCCCTGGCTTCGCCCAATGCAGCGACATGGGGGGGGGGGGGGGGGCAGACCCAGTGGTTCGGATGCAACTCCTGGGAGGTCAAATTCTGATTTTGCCCTGGTCCGAAGTCCTGCTCAATCCGGCTTAATCCCGCTGAATCCTGTTGAATCCCGCCAAGTCCGAGGCCCACTCCGGCGTAACAGCCTTCAGTGGGGCTGGATCCTCCTCCTTCCGACGCGAAGGCCTCCCAGCAGCTGCCTCCTAACGTCGGCAGGGCTTCGCCGATCCGGGAGGCATCGCCGGCATTCGAACGGCGAGGCATCGCCGATCGAACGGTGAGGCATCTCCGGCAGTCGAGCAAGCAGTGGCGAAGCGTCGCGGCTCGCCCAGAGGCCCACCGAAGACTGTTCTGAGAGCTTGCTGTGGTCTGCACGAACAGATCTCAGAGAACACTTCTTGCTGGGACTGTTCTGTTTTGACACATCGGGTTGATGTTCTAAGAGCATTGTTTCTGTTATTCGAACACTTCTGCGTTCTAAGAACATGTCGCGGTAGGCCTATAGCAATGCCAGGACGGTCGGTCCATGCTCAATTTGATTCGGGGAAACGTGCGACTCGAGTAAGCCTGAACTCGGGTTTGCCGACGCGTTTTGACGAGCGCGTCCTGGATTTTGACAGTCCAGCGTTCGTGGGATGTCTACAGGTGCGGGAGCTCGCGCCAATTCTCTTATTGGGTCTCGTCATGTTCATGATGGCAACGTCAGGCCAACCCGAGTGCCTCGTACCCGAGTCTTACGTC